ACTCTTGAATGTCCCTTGAGCTTTCTGGAGAGACTTCATCTACCAACTACCACCATTTCTGGAAGCTGGAGCTTGGATTTGGCCAAGGGAGTAGGCATTGCTGTGCAAACAGGTGCTACTGATCAGAACATTTGCCCAGGTTTAGTGGAGATTACCTTGGAAGTTGAGGGTAACTCAGTGGTTTCCAGAAATCTGCTTGGAATATTCAGGGTGTTACTGTAGCATATGTGGTCCTTCAGAAATAAAGCCAGCAATTCTTGCAGAGACTTGGCACATGTTGAGATCTTTAGAGAAGCTTTGATCTTGGCTTTCCTATTTTGTCCTGCTAATCTAGGTACCATGGATGTGTGCCTTAATCTCATCCGTGGAACTTCTGCTCAAACAACAGCAGCACTATGTCTGCCTCAACAAAATCCTGGTGCAACCTGCACCTGTCCAGAGCTGTGCAACATGTGGGTAATGTCAGAAGGAAAAATGCCAAATCAGCCCCCCCAAAAGCCTCTTCTTGGGTGTTTTGTCTGGCTTGGTCTGCAACAAAGTGTGGACAGATGCATTTCACTTCTAACCTCCTGGTCAAAGTGCAATACTTGCAGGTGTTGATGAAAAATACCACAGCATCATAGAATAGTTTTGGTTGGAAGGGACATCTTCAACTAGATCAGGTTGCTCAAAGCCCTGTCCAACCTGACCTGGAATGTTTCCAGGGATGAGGCATCTCCCCCTCTCTGAGCAACCCGGGCCAGGGTTTCACCATCTCCATTGTAAAATATGTCTTATATCTAGTCTAAATCTCCTCTTTTTTAGTTTAAAACCATCAGCCCTTGTCCTGTCCCTACAGGCCCTGCTAAAAAGTCTGTCCCCATCTTTCTTAAAAGCTCCCTTTAAGTACTGAAAGGCCAAAATAAGGTCTCCCCAGAACCTTCTCTTCTCCAGGCTGAACAGCCCTAACTCTCCCAGCCTGTCTCCAGAGCAGAGCTGCTCCAGCCCTTGGATCAATTTTGTGGCCTCCTTTGGACCTGCTCCAACAGCTCCATGTCTTTCTGGTGCTGAGCACCCCAGAGCTGGACACAGTACTTGGTCTCCTGTGAGACACACCAGGAGATTATGCTGAGGCTGTCTCTGGCATGAGTCTTAAACTGGGAAGTGAGATGATATTATTAGTGATACAGCCACTTTTCTCCCAGGGAATTGAGTTTGATGATTAAGATGTTGGCTTTCTTGGAGAAGTCTGCAGCCCCTGGGCTGTGAGTGCTGCTCCCATGGAGCAATTATGCTTTTCTAGGGAACATACATGATGTGGCTGAAGTTGTGCTTCCTGCTTACTACTACTACTCTGCTGGTTTCATTACTCCAGCTGCTGCTGCCAGGGGAGGGAGAGGTAATGTCACCTCTGATTGCTGCAGTTCAATTCTCTGCTTTTCCCAACACAGCCCTGGGCTCTTAAAATTCAGCTCAGAAGCAAAATAGCTGTAGGGCAAGCACCTTGTCAGGGTTGTGAGAGGGTTTGTAGCAGCAGGACCAGGGAGATGAAGTAGATCTGGGGAGGTGATTAGAGTAAAGAGAAAAGGCTGGGGGTGGCTATTTAAGTGCTAGAGCCAGGCAGGCTTGGGCCAGGCATGCATTACAGGGGCAGGGGTGATGCTTTAGGGAGGACTAGCTAGAGAAATTGCATTTTTAATACCTTTTCTTTCCCAGCACCTGCATAAAATGGGCTTGTTTTCGTGTTGCATGGGGTGGGTTGAGGAGGTACAGAAAGACTTAGGGTCAAGGCGTCTGCTACTTAGGACTGCAGAGGGTGAGTTGGTTTTGTTCCTGCAGCACTGAAGGGTTGTGCCTGCTGTCCTTGACCTTGTGCAATTTTTATGCCTTTCCTTTTCTCTTTGCCATGAGCTCAGTGCTGATGTGTCATCTGAGGGGCATTGTTCTGGCCCACAAGGTGTTCCTTAAGGTGAAGGAGGGCAGCTCTTTCTGAGATTCTTGTCCAACCTTAATTCAGTTCCTGACTCTGGCCTCCTACTCAGCAAAATCTCTTTTTCTCTAGTGCTTATTAGACCATATTTCAGGTTGAAGTGGCACTTCCTGTGCTCAGAGGTCTGACTCACCCTGTCATGTAGCTCAGGGAGCTTCAGCATATGCTGCCTTCCTAGGATGTGGGGGAGGTTGGAGGGGCATTGTTTTGGAGATCTTAAACACTTCCCCAGCCAATTTGAGGCAGCATGCAAAGGTGTCTAACCCTCCCCTCCACCTCCCTGAAGCAACTGCTCCTCATGGCACAGGCTCTAAAGTGTTACTGAGACTGTGCTGCCACATGGAAACCTGATTGATATTTACACAGCTTGTGCAGTGGCCATGCCAGACCCTGCTCTGAACTTCTGCAAAACACCAACCAAACCTTCAGAGGAGCTGAACATCCTCTGCTGTGGCTTGTGGCATCTGCTGCCCTACAAGCAGCAAGGGTGGCACTTGAGGATCATCAGCTGCTAAGAGGGGGAAACAGAGGTGGAGGCAGTGTTTAGCAGTGCTCAGGAGGAAGGGAAGGTGCATCTGCCCTGCACACAGCTCATCTTCTTACCTCGAGGTGACCCTGCGTGTGACAGGCATAAGTTGCTTTGTTTTAAAATGCCTGGCAGACTAATCAGCTGAAGGATTCAAAACAGGCGTTGTTTGAAGCCTTGAGGTGGTTTAGTGACAAAGCAGACACCTGCTGGGAAGTGTAGTTCCTGCATAGCCCAGGTTTGGGGTTATTTGTGCAAGCCGAGAGTTTTGTCCGTCCCTTGCCCAAGGGACACGAGGCTGGGCTGCCTTTTGTTCTGCTCTTTCCTCCCCCTAAAGAGGGAGGAACAGAGGATGCTTCCCTTGCCAGAGTCCTCGCTGACCTCTGCCCAACCCTCTGATCTTACTCCACCCTTGCCCTTTTTCCAGCTCCTGTGCTGCTTTTCCCTCCTGTCTCCAGCCCTCTCTGCCTCTGGGGCTTCTGCCCTCTTATCAAGCCAGTTTCAGTGGGCTTGGAAGTGAATTAATACTCTTGCTTGCTTAGTTTTTACCCATCTGTGCTTTAATTGCATTAGGGCAGTGGGGAAGAACTCAAACGTGTTCTGAGCTGTGTCTTCAAACCATCTTGCCCCCATCTGATCCACTGGTTGGGAAGGGTGAAGAAGAGCAGATCTGTTGTGACAACTTTCCTTGGGTTGCCATCCTGTATATGGCTGAGATGGAAAAGCCAGGATCACGGATTTGAGCCTTCCCCAGGCTCATTTTTCCCTTGCTGCCCAAAGCTCCCCGGGCACCAGGGGTGCTGTCAGCACTGGTGAGTGCTCTGCTCTGCTGAGGAGAGGTCCTGGTGTCCATCATGCATTCTGGAGGAGCCAAAACCCCAAGCTCGGCATTTGGTTTGGGATGAAGGTATTTGCATGAGGTTTCACAGTACTTGTGATGCCAGCAGGCACCCTGCCTGCCTGTTGTCCACCCCTCCAAGAAGCAGGCTGTCCCTGAGTCCCAGTGACCTGCCAGCCTGCTGCAGATGTTCCATCCCTGGTCATGCCCCCAGTGCTGTGATGCTTTGGGTCCTGTACTCAGGTGTTTCTGTGCTCTTCTCAATTCACTTCTTTCTGGCTGTTTTGGGCAAGTTTCCATTGTGCAGGGATGGTAACAGCTGCCTGAACGCCAGCACAGGATGGCACTCTTGGTGTGATCTGCTGGCTCTCTGGCAGCCTGGGTGGGGACAGCAGCAACCTGGATGCTTTTTGAAGCCCCTGCAGCCCCCCTGGGGAGATATGGAGCTCCTGTCAGCTCCCTGCCCACAGCAGGAAGCTCTACAGCCCCTGCCCTGCCTTGCTGAGTTCCTGTTTGTGGTGTCTCTGTTTGGGACTTGCTCTTTGCAGTGGTGAGCTGTGGGTTCCAGATCCCCCTGAGACCATGTGTGGGGCTTTCAGCTGCCTCCACCTCTACGTTTGCTTATTTGAGGCTTTAAAAATAGTCATTAATATTTTAGCTTCCATTCAAGCTTCCTCAGCTCACCCTTTTCATTTTGCTGTAGTGCCTAAAGCAAGCAAATGAAATCTATCCCTCCCTGCTTCAGATTAGGCAGAAAAGACTTGTCAGAAGGTGGGTAGAAGCTGCTGAACAACCCCGGTAATGTAAAAATTGACATTCTATAATGTTCCAAATTCTCCTAATTAAACATGATACACGAGCACACCACAAGTGTCCTCCAGCTGCTTTGTAATAAAATGTTGCCACGAACCAGCTTGATGTTGAACCAGCCTGGGTTCAACTCCAATATTAAAGTGTTGTGAAAGGCTAAGCAGTTGCCCACTGTAATTAAAGAAACTTGTCTTCCTTTCTCCGCACTGCTTCCTCCTGTAACCTGCTCCTCTGTCCCTTGGGGAGCTGCAGGTCTGTCCCTCAGTATCAGGTGTCTCCTTGGACACCTTTTTTATTATTATTCCCTTTTTCCCTCCTCTCAGTTTCAAATCGAATTGCCTGTGTAACTGCTGTGCTGCTGGCGGCCGGAGCTGCTGCGGGCGCTGGCTTGGGGGCCGGGCTGTGGTGCAGGCCTTGCTGCTGGGGTGCTGCTTAGGATTTTGATGGCTCATAGGCGTGAGTTTTCCCCTGTTTGTGTGTGTGTGTGTGTGTGTTTAACCTGAGAAGGAGGGAGGTTTGGCTGGGTTTGCTGCCCCGCTGGCTGGGGGAGCAGGAGCGCGCAGGCCGTGCTGCTGCCGGGCCCAGCTCCAGAGAGCTCCCTCAGACACCCTCCTGAGCACAACCTGAAACCTGCCACAGCTTTATTGCTTATTTTCCTCCCTCCCCAAGGCCAGGGCTTAAAAGAATCCCCCCTGGCCAGGCCCTGGGTGCTGCCCAGGCCTGACCGCAGCCCTGCTGGCCATGAATGGTGGGTCTGCCCTGCGCTCCCCGGGGAGCCAGGATGGTGGGTCTGCCCTGCGCTCCTCGGGGAGCCAGGATGGGCCCCACTGACCCCCCTCCCTGCTTGTCATTGCCAGGGTACCTCAAGTGTGACACGGACGATGGCTGCGAGGCCAAGGAGGAGGCGGGGGGCGAGGAGCTCTTCGATGCCGTGAACTCCTCCATCGTCTCGGGGGACAGCATCCGCTTCTTCGTCAACGTCAACCTGGAGGTGCCCCCCAATGCCACTGGTGAGTGACCGCCTCCCCAAAACACAGGGCTCGGTAGCTTTTTATTACTTTTTCCCTTTGGCAAACTCACTGAGTCTGGCATCACCCGCCTGCACGAAACATCCTGACTCCTTTTCCCCCCATCCCCCTTGTTGTCGCTTTTGCTGAGGTGGGAAATCAGGGCTTTTAGTGCCTGTGGTCATTGGAGGTGGCTAAAAAATGTAGTTGTGGTGCTTCCCGAGGGTTTCTGGAGTGTTTTGCTTGGATGGAGGCGAGTCAGGGCTGTGGATCCCCCGCGTCGGTTGCTGCCCCCCACGGCAGTTGGTAAGGGAAGAAAGTGTGGAGGGACTGCTGGGGTTGGACACCTGCTGCTTGGGTTTGAGCATCTAAGGTTAGAGGCAAGGGATTCCAACACCTGCCATTCTGAGGCAGAGAGCAAAAACAGGAAAACTGGACTCCGACTCTGAAGGTAAGGGCCCCCAGCACACAGCTGTGTCACTGCTCTGTGCTCTTGTCTCTGCTTATAAATACAAATTGCCCCCTCCAGGTGAGGGCCCAGGCTCTCCCCGGATATGCTGTGGTGGGGTCTGTGCCTGCTGCAAGTCAGCTTCATGCAGGGCAGGAGGCTGGTGTTGGCTGCTGGTGGTGCCTGGGGGGCTGGGGTGAACCCACCAGCTCCCTTGGGGAGCCACAGCCTCAGCTTTGGCTGGCACGGCCAGGCCAAGCGGCCACAAAGGAGGTGGATGTGCAGTCGTGTTGCAGATGGACATGTCTCCCTGAAACTGTGCTCTTTGTGTACTCCAGCATCCTTTTGCAATTTTGCCCAGCCTGGGGAGCAAGGTGGAAGGGACCTCCAAGCAGCCGAGTTAACACAAATTGTGAAGTTCTTTAAAATTCTTGCTAGGAAGGAATAAAATCCCTAGGTTGCTCTTCCTGCCTCCAGCACACCCATTTTAATATCCATGATGGTAAATGGTGATGGAGGAGGGCAAGCAAACCTGGCCACCTGCTGTGTGCCCAAGAAAAGGCAGCTCTGGGACACAGCAGCAGCCTGGAGCTTGTCCTGGCATCCTGGAGCCTGCCTCTGTGGGCACTGACTATTTTGGAGATTAAATGTGAGGACTCTGGATGATCCTCGGCGTCACAGTCTTGGAGAGTCCTTTCAGTTGGCTGAAAGTTATTTTTAGGTTGGTCACTAAAGATCAATTGGGATTTGCTCGTCATTATTGGAAAGGGTGATGCAGAGCAGGCACAGCCTGGACCTCTGCTTCACTATCTTCAAATCTACTTTTCAACTCAAAGCTTGTGACTCAGAGAGAGAAAAAAAAAAAGTGACTTTAACTTAGGAATAATATCTAGCAATTTTCAAGCCTGCAATTTTACAAATGCCATCTTAATTGAAAGATTTAAGGGGAACTGTCTTCTGCTATGACAAGTCTGGGCTTAATGCCGTGGGGTGCATTGTTTGGGGATGAGGAATGCAAGTGCTGTGGATTCTTCTGTGTCTGAAGAAGCTGACTTTCCTTGTGTGTCCTCCTGGGCTTTTTAGAAGTGTTTTCCCTTCCATTCAAAACAAGACAAAAAAGGCTTCTTTATTTCCCTCAAGCACTGATGTTTATGATGGTGATATTAGCTGTATCCTTTTTCTTCAGCTGAAATGTTTAGGATTTTTTCAGGAAAAAAAAAAAAATGCACTTCTGATGTGCTAGAGTCCCCTTTCAAATGCAGGGATGGAGGTTTTAAAAATGGGCTCCAGGCAGAGCTGAAGCCCAGACTTTCAGTAAAGGCAGGTGTGCAGTAAAATTTATTTTTACTTTTTTTCTCATGACAACATCAAGGCAGCCCAGGTAGGCAAAATCCAGGTTCTTCTCTATCAGGCAAAGGGTTCCTCCAGGTGTCTGAGTCATCTAGACTTGTCAGCTCTTTCTCAGAGATGGTTTTGCTGAAGAGTTCTTCCAGAGTGGATTTTATACTAATTCAGTCTCTGGCTGCAGAGGGCATAACTGATCCTCCTGCAAAGCTGACTTCTCAGATGGTTGAAAGTGGCTGAGATGAGCTCCTTAAGTTCTTCAAATGAAAGTAGCTGGAACTGCTGGAAAAAATACCCTCTTCTCACAAGCCTCCTAAACATCATTTCTGGAAATAGCTTGAATATGCTATGGCTGAGATATATCTTGTCTTAGGTTGTTCCCTGTCCAGCTCTGCAAGGGGACACTTTTCAGAAATGCCCTTGCATTGCTGCTGCCCTCTGGGAGTTTTGTTTTATATCCAGGCTTTGCATTCCTGGAGGAAAACTGTGGAGCTGAGCACTCTGAGTGCTCTGAGGAATAAAAAACCAGCAGGTTTTGTCCAAGATCCCTGCAGACACCTCATTTCCAGCCCCTAAGGGAGCTAGTGCACCAGGATCCTATGAGATCCTCTGGTGCTCTTACAGAGCACACAGTGGAAAAGCAAGTGTGAGAATGACCTTTTTCCATCCCCATCATATTTTCCTGCTTTCTCCAAGCTGACTGAAAGGCATCCTGGTGGCAGAGGGCCCTCTTGTGTCATTCGACCCACTGCAGCACTTGCTGGGGCTTGGGCAGTTGCTGCCTCACCAGAGAGGGACTGAGCATGGGCCATCTTCTGCAAAGAGGGCTCTCCAGTTCTGCCTGTGTTGATTTCCTCCCTTGTGTCAGATTAACTGGCTGCATAAAATGCATTTGCTCCATCTCCAGCAGGAAAAACCTCTAGGGTGACTTGGAAACAAGACAAACAGCTGCTCTGTGATACCTGTGAGTCTTTGTGTGCCTGTTGTGGTCATCACAGCTCAGCCTCTTGGCTGAACTTGGTGTCCACATTCTCTCTTGCTGGACACCATTTTTCTGGTGAGCTGCTGTGAGGTGAATGCCCACCTTCATGTATGGTTCAAAGATCCAAAAATCCCATCTGGAGAGGGGATGAGTTGGTACCCTAAGGTCTGGGTGCTGGTAGGCCACATAAGTGGAGTTACAAACAGCTCTGTCATCATCCTGGCAAGCTGTTAATCTCTGTGTGATGGATGTACAGCTTCCTATGAGCATAATGGGATGCACTTTACTGTAATTCTGTTTTAACAAGATCTCTGTGTGGGATTAAACCTTGAGCCAACAAAACATAGCATGGCCCATAAAATTCCAACAATTAACCATTGTCATAAAATACTGGGCTGTGTGCACAGATGTGTAGAAAGCAGGATAGTATGAAGAAATCCAGGGTCTAAGGTATGACCTATTTAATTTTTAACTGACACTGCTTTTGCATGGAATATTGAGCCCAAATCAGTGCAGGTGCCCAAGCACTAAAGTTCTTCTCAGTCTTGACACTTGGGTCCTTTCTGCTGGGTGTTTTATTGCTTCCTTGTGGCAGCTGGTGAAAAGCACTTTTTATTTGCTGCTGTCTCTCATCCTTCCAGTTTAGGTTTTGGTGGCACAACTTCTGTCCTCAGCCAATGCTGGTAGCTCCAACATGAAGGTGTGTCTCTGTCTGAAGCTTTTGGACCTGGGATCTGCTTTTTTGAGCAGGAAGGTCCAGATGGTGTTTTGAGAATGAGACTTGTTCTGAAGTCACCATAAACGTGTACAAGTGAAATGCCAGGTCTATGTATGTATCTTTGCAGGAGTCAGCGCTGTATTCCTGCCCCAAATGAAGTCCCTTTCCCCTGACACCCTTGCCTGAGGTCAGAGAGGGACCCCATCACAGGCAGAGGCACATGTCCTTCCCTGTGTTGCAGGTAGAAAATCCAGCTTGATGCTCTGTTCCATGAGAATTTGTGCCAGAGAGAATGAGGAGCATCAGCAAGTTTGGTGTGCAGGGGGGACTTCTTTCCTCTCCAAACCAGTGTTCTGTGAGCCCTGTTTATTTCTTAGCTACCACGTTGGCTGGCTGGTGCCTTGCAGGCCCTTGCATGGTTTCACAACTCTCCCGTTCTCTCACCTTGCTACAAGTGTATTAACCCTTCATAGTGCTGCCTGGGTGTGAATTTGACTCTCCTCGGGTTTTATATGTGGTCTTGTCCATAAACCCCTCTGGAGCCTGGGCTGTGGCTGTACATACCTCCAGCCTGTCACAGAACCATCCAACTAGGGCATTCAAGCCCTTGCTGCTTTCCCTGCAGCACACTGGGGAATAAATCCCTGCGCGTATGAGCCCTGTTTATTTCTTAGCTACCATGTTAGCTGGCTGGTGCCTTGCAGGCTCTTGCATGGTTTCACAACTCTCCTGTTCTCTCACCTTGCTACAAGTGTATTAACCCTTCTTAGTGCTGCCTGGGTGTGAATTTGACTCTCCTTGTGTTTTACATGTGGTCTTGTCCATAAACCCCTCTGGAGCCTGGGCTGTGGCTGTATGTACCTCCAGCCTGTCACAGAACCATCCAACTAGGGCATTCAAGCCCTTGCTGCTTTCCCTGCAGCACACTGGGGAATAAATCCCTGCGCGTGAGTTTGGGGTATGCTGAAGATGAAAGCTGCTGCACAGGCAATACCAGCTTCACTTGCTGCTGTGAGCTTGCAAGGTGTGCAGGGCCACAGCTTTGCTGTTGGTCACTGTTGTGATCTGCTTGGCAGCACCCTTAAATCAGCCAGATGGATGTTTTAATCAGATGGACCTCATTCTTGCAGCTCAGGGTTTTAAAACACTTCTTTGCATCTCATTTTTTGCAGCTTGAGCTTTCAAACCGCTTCTTTGGACCTCTTTTTTTGCAGCTCTGGGTTTTAAAATGGTTCTTTGGACCTCTTTTTTTTTTTTCAGTTTGGGGTTTTAAAACAATTCACTTTCTCTTCCTGTGCCCAGACCGCAATAGAGGGATTTGCCCAGGATTTTTAAACTAGACTTGGGCACAGTTGATCAAGGATTTGTGGAGCTGTAGCTGCTCCGCTTTTGCAGCGTGCACTGCCACTTAGAGCTGCTGCTCCTAAGATAGGGAGCAACAGTTTCCTGTGACCTGCTCCAGAGGCACGCACGTGCACGCCTGCTGCCACTGCTCCCAGCAGAACATGGAG